AAATATTCAGAAAGCATATTAATAGAGGGAATACATAATTTTTTCAAGCACTGCACAGAAATGAAATAGCTACCCTGTTTCCTTGAAAATAAGACATCCCCCGATAATAAGCCCAATCGGGCTTTTGAGTGTATGTGCTAAAATAAACCACCCTGAAAATAATCCCTCCCTGAAAATAAATCCTCCCCTAAAATATTTAACCACATGCACAGCCAGTCCCCGCCATTTCCTCTGGTTAGGATTAGGGAGATAGAGCTGGAAATCAGGTAAGATGGCAAGAGGAGCCCCATCTTGCTCCATGTGCCCCAAAATAATAATACCTCCCCGAAATTAAGGCCAAATGCTTATTTTGGGGTTCAAAAAAATATAAGACGGGGTCTTATTTTTGGGAAAACATGGTATATTTTGTGATTTGAAAGCACTTTTTAAAATTTGATTTATATGCCGCCCTTCTCCGGAGACTCAGGGCGGCTTACAGTGCGTTAAGCAATAGCCTTCATACTTTTGTATATTTTTATTCAAAGTCATCTTATTGCCCCCACAAACTGGGTCCTCAATTTACCTACCTTGGAAAGGATGGAAGGCTGAGTCAACCTTGAGCCTGGCGAGATTCGATCTTACTTTAATTGCAGACAGCTGGTGTTAAATTACAGTGCTTAATCTGTTGAGCTATCCAGGCTCCTTTTTGGAGGCACTTTTGAGCTAGGCACTGGACCTCTCTCTACTTCACAGGATCGTAGAGTTAGAAGACCTTAGAGGTCTTCTAGTCCAGCCTCTTGATGATTCAAACCTTCCTCAACTTGATCATCTTCAGATGTTTTGTGTGACTGTATTAGCTCCATCCAGCACAACCAATGTTTAGGAGTTAGGAACTGTAAGGTAAAATCAGGAAAAACCAAGATCACATCTAATTAGAAGATCTAATTAGAATAAAAAGCAAAAAAAGGAAACCTCAAAACACATTTTTAAATGAATCTGCAAAGCCGATACATCCTTTTCCACACCAGCTGGCTGAAATGAGAGAACAACTTCTTTCATTCTCAGCTAAAAGCACTTTCTTTTTAAGTGTCAGCAGGTGGGCAAGCAGAAAAAAAAGACTCTGTTTCACAGCAGAACACAAGAGATGAAAACAGCATAATATTCTCTTGCCTCAGGCAATGACAATTCTATCCCCCATTTCAGGAAGAGAGGAAAGTCATGGGGCAATCCAAATTTGTTAAAATATTAAAGCTATGTGCTTCTGTGTACATACACACACATACACTGAATGGCATAACGAGGTAATTGGCATTGTGTACAGGAACATATACACAGAATATGAGCTAGACCCTCTCAAGTCCAGATGGGAGATTCCAGAGAAGGTCATGGAGAATCTGTGGATTTCCAGACCCAGATGGATAGGCAGGTATTGGTCAATCAACCAGGCATTGTAGTAGTAGTAGACAAGGACCAGAAGACAGCAGTGATGATAGATGTAGTAATGCCAAGTGACACCAGAGAGGAGTAAGCTGGAGAAGTACCAGGGCCTGAAGGAGGAACTAGAAAGGATGTGGAAAGTAGAGGCCAAAATAGTCTTAGTAGTGGTAGGCTATGACTCCTAACCTGGTAGAGTGGCTTCAACAGATCCAAGGAATAACACCAGAGCTCTTTGTTCAGAAGAATGCAGTGCTAGGAACAGCTAAGATACTGCACCAAACCTTCAAACTCCAATGCTTCTGGTAGAGGACCTGAGCTTGAGGAAGACACATATCACCAGGGATGAAATCCAACAGGTTCTGACAGGTTCTGGAGAACCGGTAGTGGAAATTTTGATAGTTCGGAGAACCAGCAAATGCCACCTCAGGCTGGCCCCAGAGTGGGGTGGGAATGGAGATTTTGCAATATCCTTCCCCTGGAGTGGGGTGGGAATAGAGATTTTGCAGTATCCTTCCCCTGCCACGCCCACCAAGCCTCACCACACCCACCAAGTCACGTCCACAGAACTGGTAATAAAAAAATTTGGATTTCACCACTGCATATCACCCATAAAGGTGAGAAGGGAGGCAGGGAAGGAGACAGACAGACAGACACACACACACACACTTCCATTGTGACATAAACAGTGCTTAAACCTTTTCTTTACATGCATCATTAGTGAGAGACTGAATGGTCCAATAGTTGGGGCTCCTATAATAAATAACCTGTGACCAATTACTTGAATAAGCTGGACACAAATAGTTGTTCAAAAGATTTAAAAAACCTTTAACTGTTGCAAGCACCAATCTCCATCATGTCTTCATGTCATTCTGCATCATCTTTCTGTTCTGTGTAGTCTTTGAATGCTCACCCAGTGTTATGAATGGACTCCAGTGCCTGAGAAATTCGCCTGCCCCACTTTAAACACTTCTAAGTGATAATTGTAACATCTGGCCACCAGAGGTCAATATCTTTCCATAGAAAAGTGGGTAACAATGTAAATTATTTAGCCCTTTTAAAATACTGGAGTCCTCAAGCCAGTATTTTGGATAGTTGAATCATGTTTAATGTTTTCTTTATGCCTTTGAGTCAGTTTTGACACCTAGCAACCATATTATAGACAGTTCCTTGCAGTTTCTTGGCATTATTTTCAGGAGTACTTTGCTGCTCCTACTCCTTCTTCCCAGGGCTAGGAGGGACTGGCTCATTGTCACTCAGTAGGCTTTATGCCTTTTGTTGAAGATTGAATTAAAATTCCATGCCTTTAACCACTACACCAAACAGTCTCTGTAGTAGTACTAACCAAAGTCAAAATATGACCAAGCAAAACGAGCACTACTTGATCACAAAACTAAGATTAGCAAAGAATGCTTAGCTTACATTATGAGCCATGGTGGCACAGTGGTTAGAATGCAGTATTTCAAGATAACTCTGCCCACTGCCAAGAGTTCGATCCTTACCGGCTCAACGTTGACTTAGCCTTCCATCTTTCCAAGATCAGTAAAACGAGGACCCAGATTGTTGGAGGCAACAACATGTTGACTCTGTAAACCACTTAGAGAGGGCTGTAAAACACTGTGAAGTGGTATAGAAGTCTAAGTGCTATTACATTAATTAATAAGTATGCATTTTTGGGGGGGGGGATGATTTAGGTCTTACAATACATTCATTTATGATCATTTTTTTGTATTGCATGTATTGCAATTCCCCAATTGGAACATTCTTGCCTAGATAGGACTAAAGCTCAATTTAATTAAATAGGCATGATTCATTCATTTCTTCAGGAGAATGAGGCATATGTCTAACTCCCACTGAAATATTGTAATAGAAAGAATGTTTTAGTATGATTGTATTTTGGGCTTTGGATTTACACATCTTGAAGTGCATAATTAGGTGGTTAAAATAGTTTAATGAATATTACAATTTAGGATTTCTATCTTTAAAAAATGAAGAGCAACATTAACTAATATTAACAAGAAATTAATTACTACGTAACAGCTCCTACACCATAATTCTATTAGGTGAAATCAAATGGAATTTTAAGTACCTTCTAGAATTTAAAAAGAAAATATTAAATGTAAGCTTTATTAAGTTAATACTTTTATATAACGCAAGACAGATATACAAAGAAGACACAATATCAAAATTGTAAACTTAGATCACTCATGTTAATTTACATTTTATTGATCAAATATTGAAAAGAGATTAAAAAAGATTTTCAGTTTAGAAAGCAAACAACTGAATCACCTAAATATGTAGTATTTTTAACTACAAATAACTTACTTAGTAGTTTAGAAATAGTTTAGAAAGAATTACTCAACAGTTTAGAAATCATTCAAAATACAACTATTTTGCTTCTAAAATATCCTGTAATAAATCTATAATAGAAGAAACTTTAGTACCAGAATCATTTTCTTTAACAATTTCATTACTTGACAATAACAAAGGAAAAACAGTTCCAGGCTTATCTTGCATCCCTACATTTCTTCAACCAAAGGAACATGTTTTCTCCTGTCTATTACTAACATTGTGTGATACAGAATACATATGATGTATTGTATCAGATACATCAGGATCTAATAAATGCATAGGCGATAAATCCATCATTATTCTAAATATCAGAGTGCCAAATTATAGGAAACAATAGTCACCACTAGCAAACCAAAATTATGTCTCAGGATTCAGCATATTATGTAGAAGCAGAGAACATGTTAATTATATTCATAGATGAAAACACACACCTCTGCTTTCCAGAATTCAGGAGTTTGGATTTCTGGGAGACCAAAGAATTCACTACCAGATAAGACTATCTTCAAGATCAACGATGTTCACATCCTTTTTGTATAGTTTATTTCCACATGCAAGGATAAGAGCTGATTATTTCCAAATTTCAAACCTAAATCTTCATTAAAGATCTACGTTATGAGCAAATTCAAGATCTTTTTTTAAAGTGACTATCTTTGCTCATACAATTACAAAGTGAAAAATCAAGTTGCTTCTTGTGAGGTAGGCAGCCACATAACTGTAATTAATAAATAGATAAAAATGAAAATAACGTGATTGTGCCCATTGCACAATGACAGTTCCAGCTGAAATCATTAGCAAATCGCCCATAGTTGTTAAATGCAATGTCACGTGACTACAACTTGCAACTTCTTGCAGCTTCCACACTGACTTTGCTTGTCAGAAAACAGCTGTAAAGACCACAAATAGCAATCACCTGACAGTAGGATGCTGCGACTATGATAAAGTTGACATGAACCCAAATCGCAATCACATAATCGCAACGATGTTGCCAGAGCCAGAATTTTGAGGGCCAGTTGTGATTCTCCTTTTTCAGCACAACTGTAATTCTGAACAGCCACTGAATGAGCAATTGGTAAGTGAAGAACTATCTGTATTTGGTCAAGTTGTTTCTGCACTTACTGACAAAACAATGGGTAAAATGAAAAGTGAATTGCATCTCACTAATGAGATCTACCAAACACACAATGTTGAAAGCATTGATGTCATAACATCTCCTATTTAAAGACATATTTTTGGGGGGGGGGAAGGGGGGGATAAAGACAAGAGGGCAAATGGAAACAGAGATGCCAAGTACATTTCTTAAATAAAAAATTCTTAAATAAATAAATAAATCTGGAAGCAAACCAGCAACCAGTGCAGCTTGTGCAACAGAGTTGTTACATGAGCTCCTGTAGGGCCCCTAAAACTGTTTGTGCTGCTGCATTTTGTGCCAGCTGAAGCTTCCAAATATATGGGTAGCCCCATGTAGAGCACATTGCAGTAATGCAAGGCAGAGCGCAGGGCTTCATAGTCCAGGAAAGGACACAACTGGTATACAACAGAGTGCCAAGCCCTGAGCAACTCCACAAAGGAAGAGAAGTGAGCTGGATTTCTCACTCCCTAGCAATATTGATTGAGGTTGACCTTGGAGAAGGGGAGTTAAACTAACACAATACCGTGCCATTGAGATGGCCTCCAACAGCAGACGCAGGGAGGTCATTATGCAGCAGGAAGATTGGTACAGGAGCAACAATTCCATGAACCCAACCCATGATCCCAGTTTCAAGACAGGGTCTTATATCTAGAAACTTGTGCAGCAGGGCCCCTAAAGGCCAAAAGATATTCTCAGAGGACTATTGCCACTCCACCTCATCTACCCTGGGGTCTTGACTTATGCAAAACCCTAAATCCAGCTGGACATATCTCCAAGAGGGAAACTCCCCTTTCGGGAGTCAGCCAGGTTTTGATAATGAATACCAAGTCAGCCTGCTCTTCTCCAATGAGGCCATAAATAAAGGAAGCCTCATTATTAACTGATCTGGCATATAATGCTTTCCATATATACTGTGTCTTGTTTTCTATAGGCAAATAAGTAATGATAGGAGCAAGGGAATTAACAACTCTAAAAAAATAAACCAAGATAGACCAGTCGTTCTTTTGATGTTCAGTCCCTTTACTCTGGATTGTTACATGTTCAAGCCTGAGATTTAGTAACTGAAAATTGGTGGCAGTTTACCTATTACAAAAGAAGTTTCGCAGCTTGTTCTATCTTGCAGGTTTTAGGGGGCGGACGTTCCTTTGTTCTGCCCACTATAATAAAACTATAGGGAAAGTGGCACTCAATGAGGAAAGGGCATTTTCTGGGCACTGCTAACTCCCATTCCCTCAAAAAATAATAACACTGTTTCATAGAATCAGAAATTTGAAAGCAACAATAAAATTGTGAATTCTAGTCCTGCCATAGATATAAAAGGTAAATTCCAATTTGTTTTCAACCCTGAATAATTTCAAAGTAATTGAAAAGTATAAAGTAAATTAAGGTAGACATAAAATGTAAATAGAAACTGCCATTTTTAAAATGCTGACTCCAGTTCACTTTTATAGGCTGCCAAAGGCATTATGAGTCTACCTTATATGTAATATATGCAGCCCTTTAAATAATACATGAGAAGTAAGAAAATTATATTAATCAATTTGGAACATACATTTCAATAATTAAGGATGTATTTGGATGAAGAAACCAATCATAAATGAGGCCATTAACACATAATAAGGGGCAAGAGGAGCCTGGGTAGTTAATCGATTTTATTTTTGGAGCCCGACTATTCATAAATATATCTATAAATTCAATTACATTATTCATTGAACCATAAGGTCAATGTGCTCAGTGTGAACTGGGTGAATTTAAAAAACAGATTATGAAAGCTGAATAAAATTAGCAAGGAGGGAAGGCATTTGGCATTCCACAGTATTGTGCAAAATCATTCAGATTCATTCTGTATCACTCTTCCAGTTGGTTTTGTATGACCATAGTTTTTATGCTGATGTCAACCTATACTTCTCCATATATGCTATTTGAATAGATCCAAATCCAGAGTATTTGGAAACATAATTATGGTGAACAGAAACTCATTCAATAGATTCTGGCAGTAACATAGTTGTTGAGGTTATTTTTAATAAAGAAGAACTAGCTGCTAGCAATTTTTGCATGTTAATGAAGGTGAGTCAAAGTGGAAGAATCAATGACTTTTCATTGCTTAAAGATATTGCTTTGCCATAGTAAAGGAACTGCTTAGAATATTCAAATAGTAAAAATAATTATATATATTTATGGTAAAGGAAAACTGCTTTGCTGCAATTAATGCAGCAAAAACTGAAAATAAAAGTTCATTTTTTCATCTGCAGAAACACTGTGATCTAAAACAGTGTTTCTTAACCTTGGCAACTTTTAAAATGTCAGGACTTCAATTCCCAGAATACCCCAGCTAGCACACCGTCTGGGGAATTCTGGGCATTGAAGTCCAGACATCTTAAATTCACAAAGTTGAGAAACACTGATCTAAAGTAACTAAATTAGATCAATCTGAACATCACCAAGTAAGCCTACTTGTTCCATTATATACCAGTACTGCCAGGGTAGGCTATATAAATGATTTTCTAGGTCAGTTTACTGGAAAACTTTGGTGCCGCACACCCATTTTCAGTCTGACCAGTCATTTTCATCACATTCTGACTCATCATCCGAATCGCTGTATTCCACTGCAATCCGTCGAGAAAGAATTGTGGCCACATCATTTCCAACCGGCTCATGCTTGGCCTCCTGTTCACGCTGCTCTTGTACTTTTTTCAGCTGGATTCCTGAGACAAGCAAAGAAATGTGACTTTTTGTGCTCATTTTTCTTTTTAAAAAGCTTACAAATACACAGGACTGAAGCATTCATGAAAATGTACCAGAATTAACGTAATTAGTAAACATTTACACATAGTGTTTCCAAGCATGGAAATTATTTTTAAAAAACCACAGTCAAATGTCCCTATTGATGACTTGCTTATTTATAGCCAATGACTTATTTAGTATAATAAAAGCTTCAACAAGGGCAACGTCTATATTTTTAGAGAGTATTTTTCCTACTGTATAAGCATGTGTGGTATAAACAACTCATCATTCATCGGAATATTATTCCATGTGGATAGGGTAATTATCTATTCAAGTTGACAATAGTAATAACTTAGGACTTAAAATACTTCCTAATATCTATTTACATAAAAATCTATATTGTTTATATGCTTTTTGATACTTTCAGATGTAGTTAAATGCATAATTACACGCTCAGAAGATGATCTATCCAAGAAAGGTTATAGTCCCCATGGATGTGCATACAGCCAACAACTTCCTTCACTTATAGGTAAAGGTAAAGGTACCCCTCACACATATGTGCTAGTCATTCCCGACTCTAGGTGGTGGTGTGCTCATCTCCGTTTCAAAGCCGAAGAGCCAGCGCTGTCCGAAGATGTCTCCGTGGTCATGTGGCCGGCAAGACTAAATGCCAAAGGCACACGGAACGCTGTTACCTTCCCACGAAAGGTGGTCCCTATTTTTCTACTTGCATTTTTTACGTGCTTTCAAACTGCTAGGTTGGCAGAAGCTGGGACAAGTAACAGGAGCTCACCCCGTTACGCAGCACTAGGGATTCGAACCGCTGAACTGCCAACTGCCAACTGTACACTGCCCTGAGTCCTTCAGGAGAAGGGCGGTATAGAAATAAAATTATTTATTTTATTATTTATTTAACCTTTCGATCGACAAGCTCAGCATCTTAGCCACTGAGCCACCGTGTCCCCTTCACTTATACCCACCATGTATTATGTGCCTCCCTCGGCTCTCCTAAATCTCAGGTACCTTATTTATGTATAGGCTGCAGGGACCACTTTTTCTCCTCACTGGGAGAGAAAAGAAAGAACCGTATCTCCCTCTTTCCTTGCTAAGAAGCAAGTTAACACCACTGCCATTTTGCAAGATGGCAGCAAAACAGAAAAACTGACTCGCTGACCAGTGGGTGTAACAAAAGAGTTCCTGCTAGGAAAGAGCTGCAGGGGAGAAGAAGCAAGTTAACCTTCTGCTTCAAATGAGCCTCCTAAACTGTTCCTACATAATATGTTCCTAAACATTCATCATTTACCAGTCAGGCTGTCCAAATGGTACGGTCCACGAGGGACAAATTCAATACATCTGGAAGATACCATGTTGAGAAAGATTGGGCAAGCATTTAAAAGCAGTTCAAGAACAACTGCAGCGTACCTCTGTGGATGATGATTATTCATCAAAAGAAAACTATAAATGCAACCGAAAACAAGAAAGCCGAGATACAGCTTTCAGCCTAGAACACATGTGGAACAGAGCAGTGGTGGGTTGCCCCCGGTTCGCACCGGTTCTATAGAACCGGTAATAAAACCGGCGGGGGGCTCCGCCCATCAATCCCGACATCATCAAAATGCTTCTGCGCATGTGCAGAAGAGCGCACGCACGGCCCCGTTGCAAACCGGTAGTAAAAGTAAGTAGAACCCACCCCTGGAACGGAGGTCTTACATCATGCAAGCACTGAAGACCCAAAGCCTGTGATATTTAAAATCACAGGTCAGGTTTTGGAAGACTTACCCATCCGAATAGCAGCAAGAAGATCACTTCGAGCACCACTGATGGGTGACTGGATAGACTCCTGCATTTTAAGCTCAGCTACTGCAGGAGTGTGCAATGGAGACGATGAGAGAGAAGATCCTGCAGGAGGGCCTGGAGGAAGAGGAGGTGGGCCAGGAGGAGCAGGAGCTGTAACAATATGCCCAGAAGGAGGAAGATGAAGAGTACCAGAATACAGTGTACCAGCCATTAGTCCAGAATGGGTAGGTAGCACAGGGATTTGGAGAGGACTAACAAAAGCAGTCTGCGCAGAAGGAATCATAAGCGGTGATGCAGGGGCTAGGCCTCCTGAAGAATTGTAATAATCCACCATCTGAGCTGCAATCATCCTATACATAAAACAGAACAAAATACTTGTTAGTTGAAGTATCAATTAAGTATGCAATGTAACAATCAATGTTCTACTTGATTTGAACTTTAAAAATATTAGTGCTTTACTTTCTCATTACCTTTTTTTTATACTAGAACATTTATTTACAGCACCAATATTTTCCAAGTTGGCTCTTATTTAATCAGGAAGGCATAAATGATTCAGACAGAGGTTTATCCTCCAAACTTGCTACTTGACTCCCAAATGTTTGGTTACCAAACTATAAACGAACAAGGCACTTCACCCCAGACCCTGTTGAAATTGTTACCAAGTTTGGTAATGAAACGTCGGGGAGAAAGCATGAGGCTTGGAGGACAAATCTCTGCCTGAATCTGCAACCCGAGTTATGAATATTCTCTACAATTTCTAAGGCACAAATGACTTAGAACAAATTACACACTATTTTCCAGTTTCAACATAATTTTCCCCATATTAATCTTTATTTCTACAGCTTAACAGTATCACCAGGAAGTAGTAACTTTCCTATTTTGCTTAGTTTATTTAAGAATAAGAACCTCTGAGTATGCTTAACAACATGCAGTTCAGCATACAATTTACACACCACTGATATTTTGAACATAGAACCGCAGTGGCGGTGCAGTGGTTAGAATGCAGTACTGCAGGCTATTTCTGCTGACTGCCAGAAGTTTGGCAGTTCAATTCTCACAGGCTCAAGGTTGACTCAGCCTTCCATCCTTCCGAGGCAGTAAAATGAGGACCCAGATTGTTGGAGTCAATATGCTGACTCTGCAAACCACTTAGAAAGGGCTGCAAAGCACTGTGAAGTGATATATAAGTCTAAGTGCTATTGTTATTCATCATGAGCATACCTTTTCCCTCTCTGAGACTATCTTGTTTGCTCTTCATCATTCAGAAACTGTTTCTATGGAACTCTTGAAGAGCAGGAGAAAAATGTTTTAAATAGTTAGGTTCCATCAAGTCAGCAACTTATGATTGGACAGATGCTTGCCATCTCAGCCTGCCCTCTAGGTATTAAACACAGCCATTCCAAAACTATTGCAGTAATATATTTGATCCAGTGGTGGGATTCAAAATAATTTAACAACCGGTTCTCTGCCCTAATGACCAGCTGGGTAGGCGTGGCTCAGTGGTCATGTGACCATGTGGGTGGGTCCAACTCAACGTCACTCACGTCAATGGGCGTTTCACCTTAGCTGTTACAATGTAATAAGGGTTAAGCAGAGAGACAGTTTCTGTAAGCAGGGCAATAAAGATTAGGCTAGAAACAACATCAGAATGTTTCCTTCCTGCCTTCCTTACAGGATTAGCCCTGTAAAGTGGGGAAAAAAACAAAATAAGATTTCTTCCAACAACCGGTTCTCCCGAATATGTGCGAACTGGCTGAATCCCACCACTGATTTGATCCCATTTAACCATCTGATTGTCTTCCTGTTCTATTCCTTCCAAACTTAACAGAGAAAATTTTCTAGTCAATCATCTAGTTGCAATCATATGTTTAGCATATATTTATGTTTGCTGATCATTGTATAACACAGGGGTCTCCAACTCCCGGTAGTGGCCTACTATTGGGCCGTGAGCATCCCATTTGTGCAAGCAGTGGGTGAGCACATGCACTCCACTTGTGTGAGTAGCAGGCACATGGGCCTGCCACTTGCACAAATGGAGCTGCGCATGCACGGCACGTGCACTTGGCCACTGTTTGTGCAGAACCATCCCTCTCTCTCCCTCTCTTCCACCGGTTTGCAAAGCCAGAAAGGTTGGGGCCCTGGTCTGATATGAGGACAAAACCAGCTATTTACCCATAATCTGCTGGTATCAATGCAACAGTACCCAGAGCACCATCTAAGATTTGGGGTGGGGGTGGAGGCGGTTCTTGAGGCCTATTCAAAGTAGCATGTTGCACTGTGGTAGAAGATAACCTATATTCATGTTCAAGGCCCTGTTTTGCAAGCATAAACTGAGATCCATCTCCTGTTCCACATGAAGGCACATAGCAAAGTTGATGATGGAGTGAATGATTTGGAGTAGCAGGATATGAATAACTGGTAATATCCAAAGCATGGGATCTGAAATTAGAAAGAAGAATAAGGGGAGCCATGAACAAAATACAGTTAAACTCACTCAATTTAAAAGATTATCTATTTAACATTTTACAGATTGTTAGTAGATGAGATTAATGCAACATTAAATGTTAATGCAATATTAAATGTAAGCCACATTCACAAAAACAACTTTTCTCTAATTTTCAAAGTATAGGATATATATTCCAACACATATCAAAGAAGACAGACAAGCAACATTACCAAGAAAAATCAAAAGATGAAAATAAATCAAGGCAGATTATTGCATTTTATCAAAATCCAATCCAATCCAAAGTTTTAACATTTTTTTTAATATGGATTTTTTTCCTGGGATTTTTTTTTTGCATAAAAGTAACTTTATCTGATGAAAGAGAGAGAGAGAGAGAGAGAACTGTTAGCTGGTCACAAAGCTTGGAAAACAGCAAAGCTTTTAGTACATAGCAGTTAAGACCAAGCAACATTGTCCTTGCATCCCTAGGCTGCAGAGAAGCTAAATTAGTAAAACAAATTATGCCATATTGTTAAAAAAAAAAGTGAAACAGATGTTCATCATTTTATTCAGATGGAAAGCCAGGGAGTTAACGAAGCGCTTTCAATAAAACAAAAAAAGACAAACCCTTTGGGCATCTGGGTCTCTTTTGTGCCTCCTGCCTGCTCTTGTTTCTGTATGTCATTTATGAACTCAATGCCCATTTTCTTTCTCTCCCACTCTTCTTTCCTGGCCCTCACTTTTCTCACATTAACGTGATGATGCCGGCTTGGATTCAGCTTGTGCCTCTCTCTCTGAATCATAATGGGCACAATATAAATCATAACAAAAAGGATTACATACAGGATGGAAACATGAGAATTTCATATGCCGAGAGTTACATTAGACAGGCATATGTTACATAGAACAATGTTACATTTGTTTTCCATGCAAGTTTAAAAAAAAAAAAGCTGTTTTGAACCTAGGTGTGCTTCTTTTAATGGAACTGTTGCTTACAGCAATCTGTTTACAACAAAGCAAGGCAAAGTTTTCATTTTGTCAAGCAACAAATAAAGACAGGCCAGAAAAAGACATTGGACCAAAAAGGCTTGAAAAGATATGAATTGGCTAAGATAAGAGAATCAGTAGGATTATAAAAGAAAGGTAGAAAAAGGGGACTCTTTCAGATGGAGAAAGAGTCGCTTTTAGAAGCGTATTCAGAACTTGTTATCAGAATATCTCACAAAATATTACCAACTGAAAAATCTCTTCTTAATGCAGACAAAACAACATACTGGCTAGAAATTCTGGAAATATTAAAAAAAAAAAAATTTGTTTTAGAAGTTGATTATGCAATAGTTAGTTACAAAAACCTCTGCCTTTATATGCCCAAGTTTTAAAATGACTACAACATGACATAAGCAAGCCACAACAGATGTTAATGGAACAGTGAAATTTGTGGGCTGCACTATTTGTTATATTTGTTCCTTTGTTCAAACTAAGTAGCAGAACAAAAATGAAATAATGCCTGATCAATCTAATTTAAACACTGTACTTGAACATGTTCAAGGCCTCTGGTTTAGCTCAAAGGCAACAGATACAGAGATTTGATATATCATGAGTTTTTTTAACACCTTGGCTTTAAGCACACAGTGCCTGACACAAAAAGGGCCATTTCCTGTCCCCAGTTTTCCATGTTTCTTTTTGTTGCAATAGGCTGCAAAAAATCTTTTAAAAATATGTCTTCACGGTTAATCTAATTCAGGAAAACGCAGACGCCAAAATCATCCAAACTGAAAAAGAAAGATATACCTCTCTTATACAGGTAGTCCTCGACTTACGACAACAATTGAGCCCAGAATTTATGTTACTAAGTGAAAAAAAATTGTTAAATGAGTTTTGTCCCACTTTATGACTTTACTTGCCACATTTGTTAAGTGAATCACAGCAGTTGTTCAATTAGTAACACGGTTGTTAGTGAACCTAGCTTCCCCATTGACTTTGCTCGTCAGAAGGTCGCGAAAGATAGTCATCTAACCCCGGGACACTACAACCGTCATAAATATGAACCAGTTGTCAAGCATTCGAATGTAAATCACGTGACCATAGGGATGCTACAACCATCATAAGTGTGAAAAATGGTCATCAGTCACTTTTTTCGCTGCCATTGTAAGTTTGAACGATCAGCAAACGAAGTGTTGTAAGTCGAGGTCTACCTGTACAAGTGGAAGTTATAAATCTGCAGCAGATGAAGGATACTAAGCACCTCTGAATATATAAATCTTATTATCAACAGACCTAGTTTCAGGGGACAGAGACCCTTCAGAAGATGCTCCAGGGTAAATATTCTGAGACAACCTGTTGTCTGGTCTAAGTTCTTTGTCATAGGCCATCATATTCCACTCTTGGCGCCTGTTCCTTGCTTTTCTAACCTTTTTCACCTCACGAGTTGTGCCATCTATACGTTTTTGATCCTGATATAATATAAAAAGTGATGAAGCATGCAAAAGAGAGAAACAAGGAAAGAGCAAGTTTAATGCTGTTAAGAATATGGAAATAAGATGTGCAGGTGAGCCAAGCATAATCAAAGCATATATTAGATTCCATTGGTTATTTATATAAACTTTCAGCTATGTTTCAATATTTATAGGATATGGACATCTCATGGTCCCATATTCATTTTTTCCCCTCCAATGAAAAGATTTTAATGTTATAGTTTGCAAAAATTCCTCTATATGATCTAGTCAAAGCAATCTAACTAACTAACAAATCAATAGTTTTTCAATACATCACATTAAGTAGCTTGAAAATATTTTCTCATTACATGCTGTGAGTCAGTACAAATGTACCTACAAATAGCCTTTTGTTTGGTCGTCTTCCAGCTGCAAATTAAGCTTATTCAACTTTTAATTTTGTTCCTCAAATGAAGCATGTATTTATTCTGAAGCAAGCTGATTTCCACTTTTCCTAAGACTGAGCCAGGCAGTTTGGTCTTGTTTTTCTCATGTTAACTGATTAGATATTTGTTCAATAGTTTAGGGATTTGGGTGGTGTAAGCCAAATCAAATGAGTGTTTTCAAAGTTTGGATACATATAACTTTCCAATAGCTTCTTACAATATAGGCTGTCTATGTTTAGAGACCATGTTTAGAACTGGTAACTTAATTATTAATCAAAGCAGTCACTAAGTAATACCAAGACTGTGCTTTACAATCTTACTGCAGCTTTCATTTGCTTTACAGACCTGAGAAGGTCATAAATGTGGGAACTTATAAAGTTACTTTTTCACTGCTGTGGTAACTGTGAATAGTCACCAAATGAGACCTACTTTTTCAGATTTACAGGGTATGGATTCTTTTCAATAAGTACTTAAAGGTTAAGGTAAAGGTTCCCCTCGCACATATGTGCTAGTCGTTCCTGACTCTAGGGGGCGGTGCTCATCTCCGTTTCAAAGCCAAAGAGCCAGCGCTGTCCAAAGACGTCTCCGTGGTCATGTGGCTGGCATGACTAAACGCCAAAGGCGCACGGAACGCTGTTACCTTCCCACCAAAGGTGGTCCCTATTTTTCTACTTGCATTTTTTACGTGCTTTCAAACTGCTAGGTTGGCAAAAGCTGGGGCAAGTAACGGGAACTCACCCCATTATGCGGCACTAGGGATTCGAACCGCTGAACTGCCGATAAGTGCTTACTTCCTGCTTATTACTGCCATAGTAGGTAGACAGACACGGAATCAGGTGAATTCATGAGGGGCTGCATGAGGGGCTGAGGACAGGTTCTTAATCATATGGATCACCGTGATAAAACAATTGGCTCCAAGAGAAATTTGTTAGTTCTTAATAAAGGGGGTCCTTATCTTACAATCCGAATTGGGACTGGATTTTTCATCCTAAATTGTTATGGTTGTAAATTGAGGGCCCTACATAACCAGACTCCATTTTATGACATTTTCTGCGGCGGATTTTCAGGAAATCACCACAGTTGTTTAGCAAATTCACAGCTGTAAATGCAAAACCATTTTTTCAAAAGGCCTTTTTTTTTGCCAGAAATTGGCAACATGGCAACATTGCAAATTGCAGTCATGGGACCACAGGATTCTGCAACTAGTCGTAAAGGTGAGTCGGTTGCCAAGCACCTAAAATTCTGTCACATGACTGTAGGGGTGAGTGTGAAAAATTTTATGGTGGCCAAAAGTGCCTTACGGGCCAAAAAGCACCGATTCTGGGCCCACTGTAATTCTGGATGGGTATTAAGCAACCAGTTGCAAATTAAGGATTTTCAGTAAATGTGATTAAGAGGGGAAAATTCTCAGTTCAGTAGTTCATAGTTCGCAAAATGGATACCATAGAAATGCTAATAGCAGACCTGTTATATTTATTTTTCAACCCACATTTCTCCATAATATCCTATCAAATCCCTGTTTCCCACAGTTTATTACATCTCCTTTACTATGTCCTTATTGTTTGTGTCACCACACTGACAACATGTAAGCCCCTCATAGAGGAAAAACAGTAGCAGGTCACCCAATCACTCTAATGTGATATTCCTTTTTCTGCAGAGCCTCTAGATCCACTAACCTGTCTTTTGTGGCATATTTATGAAACACACACATACACACACAGAAAAGGCAGCTTACTCTTTTAATTCTGTTCTTTCTATGTATTACCTAGGAGCTTCAGCCACTTAATTAGTTTCAGAGCTCCAGGGATTGCTCACATAGCATATATACACACTCATTTCAAAAATGTCTATCAAATTCCTGAATTTTATTACAGCTATGATCTGAAAATGGAGAATTCAGGCAACATTCCTTCATGATCTCATTTATATGCATTCACATTTCAAAGCAGTAAACTTCATTCCGCAATCTAGTCCATTATTTCTGCACAGCTATAAAAGAACAGGCCTGGCCTAATTTTCTCCCTCTTTCATAAAAGATTTTTAATTTTTAAATATCTTTTAGTATTTTATACATTCAATTTTAAAATTGGTTTTAAATAGTTCGGGGTTTTAAATTTGTCGGAGCCAAAATTATTTAATTTGATTTTATTCTACTTTTAAATTTTGTATGGATGTGTTTTATTGTTTGGCTGTGCATCGCCCTGAGTCCTTCGGGAGTAGGGCGGTATAGAAATCGAATAAAATAAACAAACAAACAAACAAACAAACAAACAAACAAACTATACTAATCTTTCAAACTTGGAGCTTAAAATAATGGAAAGATTCTTCAATTTCCATGATACAGAAACTTCTGAACTGAAAGATTTTATGAAATGTCTGTAATATCTTCAAAATATCTTCCAAAATGTAGTTATATAATAAAACTAACTGGGAGTTTCTTTAAACACTCCATTAACAAATCTCCAGAAGACTTTTGGCTTTCTTACCTGTATATTTTCAAAATACAGGTAAGAAAGCCAGAAGTAGGTTTCAGCAGGTTCTGACCAGTTCTAGAGAACTGGTAACAGAAATTTTGAGTAGTTCGGAGAACCGGTAAATACCATCTCTGACTGGCCCCGCCCCCATCTATTCTCTGCCTCCCGAATCCCAGCTGATCAGGAAGAAATGGGGGTTTTGCAGTAACCTTCCCCTGGAGTGGGGAGGGAATGGAGATTTTACAGTATCCTTCCCCTGCCACGCCCACCAAGCCATGCCATGCCATGCCACGCCTCCCAAGCCACACCCACAGAACCGGTAGTAAAAAAAATTGAATCCCACCACTGAAGAAAGCACACTTTTAAGATGAAAGGTAAAGGAATAGTTTGAAATACAGGATAGCTTTTGTTTTTACAACCATTCGTATGTAAGGAACATTGTTAAAATACAGTATAAGCTATTTATCTTAAAACATGATTGGTAAATTATTATTATTTTTTAAAACTGTTTTGATTTACCTTCTGTCGTCTCTTCTCTTTTCTCTTATGCTCTGTATCTTGTAACATTTTTTCTTTCCAGAGGTCAAAGAAGTAAGAAGGATCAGTATAAAATTTTAAGCCATCTTTTTTATCATCTCTGTAAAAAAGTGGAACAAAACATTGTTTTAAAATGGCCACTGCTCATGCTCCAATAGTCAATAAAATAAATCAGTCATAGAACAAATCGATCAGCTTTTCACCTGAAGTACAAATGAGTACTAGGTGGAAGACCCAGCTCCTTTTAGAAGTCCATAATGCTGGCAAAAATGGAAGGAAAGGGAAGATGACAACTCTAGAAAGTTGAAGAGACTCCGTAACTATGGCAAAAGGCACACCCTTGGGAGGTCTGAAGGACCAGGGTGTGGACAGATCATTCTAGAGAAGGTCCCTTTAGGTCAGGGGTGTCAAATCTCGATTTCATTGAGGGTTGCATCAGGTTGTTTGATCTCAGGGGGATGGGGAGGCATGGCCAGTGTGGGCGGGGTCAGCTCGACATCCATTTTCGGCTGCGACAGCCTCCTGCAGCACTCTGCCAGTGAAAATGGAGCTTGAGAGGGTCGCACGCGCACACACACTCTGAGCTCCATTTTCACTGGCAGAGGCACCGCGGGCTGATCCTTCAGTGTTTCCAGAGTGGCTACACAGGCCGGATCTAAGCACCCCGCGGGCCTTGAGTTTGAGGCCCCTGCTGTATGTGGTTAATAAGAGCCAAAAGGTTTTCTGTTACTCATCAGGGAAACTTAAGCAGATTTCGAGTATTTCTTTATCTGAGTATATGAAGTTCCATTATGTTGATGTTTATTATTCAGTACAAATATTGTCGTACTACACGTTTTTGCACGGTGTATGAGAACATTTTTTTCTCCTGCAAAAATACAATACATGAAAATAAGAAGGAAAACTTCATATCCAGTTGTATCAGATTTATTCATTTCAAATTACAATACCTGTATGATGTAAGAATATTCAGTGGAGGTGGTTTGTCACTCTGATTGTAAATATCAGCTATAGGATTGGGAATGCTGCTCTTTGAAACAACCTGTTGATCCTGTACTGTAGAACTTTTGAATGCTTTCTTCATATTAATATCTTGCAATGAAACTGTTGAAAAGAAAGGAGAAATAGCCACATAAGAGACTGAGAGTAGCTTACAATATGCAAATGAAATGACTGAACAAAAGCAAATAAAGGAATGACTACATCTCATTTTGTATGTACAACATGAATTGTGTGTTGCACATCTGAGACAAGATTGTGAACAAATACAATCTGTTCTAATTAAGACTAAAATACAAAGTTATTCAGATCTGTGGTTTATCATTCTTTATTTATTGCTTACATTGTTTACATTCCATATTTTTTTATATGTATATTCCAGTGGTGAAATGTAAAATTTGTACTACTAGTTCTATGGGCGTGGCTTGGGGGGGGGGGTAATATGACTGAGTGGGCGTGGCCAACTTTTTTTTTTTACTTTTAAAACCATTTTTTCTACAACCTCTTCAGCTGAAGAGATTGTAAAAAAAATGTTTTTAAAGCCTCTGACGATCCCAGCTGACTTGCCTGATCGGCAGAGGCTTTCTTTTTCTTTTTAAAGCCTCTGACGATCCCAGCTGACTTGCCTGATCGGCAGAGGCTTTTTTTCCTTTAAAAAATTTTTTTCTATAACCTCTTCGGCCAAAGAGGTTGTAGAAAAAATGCTTTTAAAAGCCTCTGATGATCCCAGCTGAGCCGCACGATCATCAGAGGCTTTTTTTTTTAATTTTAAAAGCATTTTTTCAGCCAAAGAAGTTGTAGAAAAAATGCTTTTAAAAATAAAAAAAGCCTCTGATGATTGCGCGGCTCAGCTGGGCAATTGGGGGGGGGGCAGGGATTTTTGCTACTGGTTCTCCGAACCACCCGCTTCCGCTACCGGATCGGGCTACCGGATTGGGCGATCTAGTCCGAACCGGGAGCATTTCACCCCTGGTATATTCCTATCATTATTATCTTTTTCTTTCTCTTTGACAATTCTTGTAAAAACAAAAGAAAAGAAAAAAAAAGGCAATATAATAATTTTATTGGCCCCACTGATTTTGACATGACCAAATGCCGAAGGCACACAGAACGCTGTTATCTTCCCACCAAGCTGGTCCCTATTTTTCTACTTGCATTTTTACATGCTTTTGAACTGCTAGGTTGGCAGAAGCTGGGGCAAGTAATGGGAGCTCACTCCATTACACGGTGCTAGGGATTCAAACAGCTGAACTGCCGACCTTTCTGATTGACAAGCTCAGCATCTTAGCCACTGAGCCACTATGTTCCCACTGTATAGATAACTATGTCTTTTTGCCAATATCACTTTTGACATAATACTTGCATGAAACTGCCTACCTTCTTCCACAGTTGAATCCAGTTGAGTAACCTTGACAGACAGACGGTCAATCCTATCTTGAAGAGAATTTGCCCTGATGTAAAAGTTGTTGGCTTCGTTAAACAACTCACCAAATATGTCTTCAGCATGTTTGCCTATAGAGAAAAGATAGGATCATGTTCCCCAGCTTAGAAATAAATGTTTTTATTTATTATTTACTGACAAATATTTTATAATGCTAGTTTACATGACCCTGTGGCATTCTGACATTTTTTAAGAATGTTATCAGAATTCTTCAAGATGTTTTTACTGTAATCCTGATGGCTTTTTGTAAGCAATTCTAATAATCAATTATCCTTCAACTTGACTAATGACTACTGCTTAAAAATACAGTTGAACTTCCAAAATAACATAGTAATTTATAACCTCTCTGAATGGCCAAGACAGCTAAAAGTCCCCAGAATGACATGAAGAAGCAAACAGCTATAAAGCCAGAATAGATATACCCAAGCAAAAATCCTTATATTTTTCCTGGTGTTCCTAACTTCATCTATAAAAACTAGAAATTTAAAATATGGAATTATAGGGTACGGTACCCCAATACATGAAGTTTAGGCAGATTAGAATCCACCTCACTTCCTTTGTTCCTTTCACAGCACATGTGCTTGGTGTGCTCCCCTCCCAAAATTCAAGATAAACCTGAAAGATGCCTCATCTTCTTCAATTTTCCATATAAAATAGGAAGAAAAAATAAAGAATAGCATTAAAAACAACTCAGGGAACTTACTTAAGCTGCTTAGCTGACGTATGATAGCAGCAAGAGTACTATTGGTTACGCATTCCAATTCGCTAGTAATTCCTTCAGGTAAAGCTCCTTGGCATAGGTGCCGAGGTTCAATGTTTCTTTTGATTAATGGCATGTTTCAATGTCTGTAAAAAGAAAGAACAAAACATTATTTTCATCCTCCTTCAATATAAAAGCAAGAGTTAGTATAGTGCAAAGGGAGAAATGGGCCCGTGTCTCACAGAGAATGTTTTGGTTAATTACCTCAGGAAGATTATCCAGGAAAATCATTTGTTGTTGTTGTTGTTGTGGTGGCACCCATTTATTGGAATGCCTTCTCTCTCCAAATAATCACAGTGACCTTGCTCTAGTTCAGACGTCTCCTAAAAATATTCCTATTCTTCTTTATCACTTGAGATCCCAAATATTGCTGGCAGATTCATCACCACTGTTATGATTTATTGTATTCAAGTGTACTTTTAATACTGTGCACTGCATGGCAGGAAAACCTATAGGTATATTTAATTAAACAAATCTTATCAAATTTGCTATGTAGCTTTCTATATATTATTGAAGAGGAGATAACTGTATTCTTTCTTTGATCATTTGTGAATTTGCAAGTCAATATTATATCCTGGAACAAAACATTTTTATTGGAAACCCTTAAAAGAGAGCTGAATAAATCTGTTCATCAAAAACTTCCTAACGTATCTCTGGCTCGACATTTTAGATCAGGTCACATTGTGAACAAACAATTTAAGGGGTTTAGAAAACTAGGGCCCAATCTGCTTCTAATTTTCCAACATCTGTATTAAGAAAAAAATGTAAATAGCAAGAAGACAAGAAGCGGATGACATTTGGTGCTGAACAGGAAATGACTCCTTAGGATCTTGTACTTGGCAGCCGGGCTCCTCATGAAAAAAAGCAAAGGGAATGGGAATGACTTAACAGGAGCTACTTGCAAACTTCCCTGCCTGCTTCCCCATTAATTTTCCTTATGGGAAGCCAGCAGGAAAGGTTCAAATGATGATCATGTGACCTCAGGATGATGCAACTGTCATCAGTGTGAACCAGTTGCCAAGCACCCAAATCATGATCACCAAAAGTTCTGGGATGGTCAGAACTTTGAGTATTGGTCATAACCATCACTCATTCAGCCCCTGTAACTTCAGCCTCTGAACAAGTGATCATTAACCAAGGACTACCTGTAGATTTATTCTCCATGGTGACTGAAAGCAAGACAAGAACCAATCGTGGAAGCTTTAGAGAGAGCTCTAAATTTGAAGGAAGGAGGAATTTCTGATACTGTGAGCTCCTAAGCAATGGAACAGCCAACCTCTTTCTTGGAAACATGAATTACCATTACTGGAGGTTTCAAATAAAGGCCGGACAATCATTTGTTTGGGCTGCTCTGACTATTCCTGTCCTGGGCAGAATTTTGGGCTAGAAGTTCTCTAAGGTTCCTTCTAGTCCTACAGTATAAGTTTATGTTCTCAGAAACATTTAGCTCTTATTGTGTTTCCACAAATTTCTGCATCATTTAGAAACTTTTTGTTTTGTAGCAAGCAAAACTTAATCTCAGCATGTTTATCACAAGATTCTTAACTTTGGATTTTCTGATATAAATATAATGCTAATATAAATGGTTGCATAATTATAGGTTCAATATACATAATCCCCTCTAAGATAAAACATCTTCATGTTATCATTGGTTTTGATTTGGATGCTACAAGTCAGATGTTAACCTTGAAATTCTTCAAGAAACAGCTCCCATGAGCGCAATCACTTGGAAATTTTGAACAAAGAGGGTAAGAGGGAAAGGGGTTGTAATACCTCTGTTCCTAAGTTAATGTCTCCAAGGTATTTTATCATCCCTACACCTCACCAACAGAAAATTCCTATGTGGCATTTTTACGTCTCACAGGATTTTTACATACAAATACCTTTGTTTCAAAATGAGCCTGGAGGAAGGGAGGGGATGAAGCAAAAAGGAAGCATATGTAGTAGTAATTGTCATGTTTTGATTCTTAGCTACAGAAATCAGTACCAGAAATAACATACATACATGTATACAAACTATACTATACTTTTATATTATTCTACTCTAATTTCAGTTCAGTAGTGACCACAATCTTTGGAATGTAGTAGTAAATGACTATTCCAGAACGTTTCCACAATTAAAAAATAATTCTGATAAGTTCTCCAGTAACAAATCTTTGCTAGAGTCTGCCTGGAATTCGCACTGCATATCGGAGATTAATACAATTGAGCGGGTTCAGAGGTATTTCACGAGAAGAGTGCTCCACTCCTCTACTCACAACAGAATACCTTATGCCACCAGGCTTGAAATTTTGGGCTTGGACAACCTAGAACTACGCCGCCTACGGTCTGACCTAAGCATAGTACACAAAATTATCTGCTACAACGTCCTACCTGTCAATGACTAATTCAGCTTCAACCACAATAATACACAAGCAAATAATAGACACAAACTCAAGGTAAATCACTCAAGGTAAACTCGATTGCAGAAAATATGACTTCAGTGTCTGGAATGCACTACCTGACTCTGCTGTTACATCTCCAAACCCCCATAACTTTAACTGTCTACTGTTGACCTCACCCCATTCCTTAGAGGTCTCTAAGGGGTGTACATAAGCGTACCAGCGTGCCTACCGTCCCTGTCCTACTGTCTCCATTTATTCATACCCATTTATTATGTTCATATCTATGCTTATACTTATACCTGTTATCTTTTACATGTTTGACAAACTAACTAACTAACTAACTAAATAAATTGTCTCCTGACATATTACAGGTAATCCTTAATTTATGACTTAATTTCCTGCTTTTAAGCACCATGGAGAATATAGTTAGTCCACGGATTATGACTACAATTGAGTCCAAAATTTCAGTTGCTAAGTAAATGAGTTTTGCCACATTTTACAACATTACTTCTTGTTAGTAACACAGTTAAAATGAATTTGGTTTCCCCACTGACTTGGCTTATCAGAGGTTGCAAAAGGTCATCACATGACCCCAGGACTCTGCAACTGCTCAAATAAATATGAACCAGTTTCCAAGCATCCAAATTTTGATCATATGACCATGGGCATACTGCAAAGGTTGTAAGTGTGAAAAACTGCCATAAGTCACTTTTTTCAGTGCCATTCTAACTTCAAATGAATGGTTGTAGTAAGTCAAGGATTACCTGTATACTGTTCAGCTAAGGATTTCTAGCTGCTGTTCTCACAAAATCTCTCCTTTCAGCACAACACTGAGCACCAGAAACAAAAGTAAGAGGCATCTATAGTGAATACTTATTAACCATTAATTCAATTTTATCTCTGCTTTTTAAATTTTGTATATATGTATTTTATTATTGGCTGTTCACCGTCCTGAGTCCTTCGGGAGTAGGGCGGTATATAAATCAATCAAACAAACAAACAAATAAATAAATAAATAAATAAATGTGAAGTTAGAATTTATTAGCCCAAATACTGGCTTATCTTCATACACTTATTTAAAGTACCCAGATACTCAGCTATATCCAAAGCAAATTTCTATCTCTCTCTTAATTCCTTAACTAACAAGATTTTTTCCCTTAGGGATTTTATGCATTATCTTAATTGCCAAATGTAGCAAGGTTTTGCTGATTATATTTGTTCTTTGTGTATCATTCCCCTCTGCTTTTTAAGATTTCAAGTGTTGGCTTTCAATGTTGAGATCCTTATGAGTGATACCTCAAAATACTATCCACCTGATGGGGAAAAAATAAATCACAGCATTGACCTTGCAGCAAAATTACTTCTTACGCACCAGGGACTGATAATATGGCAAGTAATTCTGCTACTTCTTAGTCATTAGCATAACTGTAATAGTTTGTACCATAATGAGTAATGAAAATGTAGCGCAATTACAAACTCTTGAGAGGATGCTCCCTGCTGCTTCCTGTATGAATGACTGCTATCAGTATGTCTCCTTCCTATCCGAAGTAGTGCCTGATGACATAATGCTCCAAAATCAAAGTAATCAGCTCCTTTGAAAACAGGCATTTCCCCTGCTAATAATTCTAAAAGCATTCTAAAAACATTTGGAAATGAGTGGAAAACATTGCTCCAATTCATAATTCCAAGAGTTCTGTTAAAAAAAAAAGTGCAGTCATCACAACTGATATTCTGAATTCAATTCTCCCAAGGCCAGAAATTTGGGTATATGGGAAGATAGTTAGGACTGTGATCAAGGACTTGGTCCTTGCACCCCCACACAAAACCGGGTATAATCCAAGCTCTGGATGCCAGTGTGGTCATTCTGTTGGAACAGCCAGGTCACAAAGTGAGCAAAAATGAAGCATGCTGATGCAGGTCTCCCATGATCTGCGGTGGCCTAGAGGTAGAGCTCTTGCCTCACAATCAGAAGGTCATGAGTTCGATCCTAGGTAGATGCAGATGTAGGATCTCCTGCTTGGGCAGGGGGTTGGACTAGATGAGCTGTAAGGTCCCTTCCAACTCTGTTAATCTGTTAATGCTTGTATGATTGTCTTTCAATTGTTATAATTTTATTGCTCCTATAGATAGATGTTAGCCATTAGGTGAGAGACTAGAAAAGTATATTGTCCTTTCACAACAATGATTAAGAAGATTTTAGCTTTCCTTCTCATAACCTAGCTGATATTCTATGTAAATCTGTCACAGCCTTGCAGCAATGGGGGCCCCAGATTGGGCGAACCGGTAGTGGCGGTGGGAGGCTCCGCCCACCCGCCCAGACACTTCTGCACATGCAGAAGCATCACGCGCACACCCACGAGCAAACCAGTAGCGCCGGGTTTTTGAAACCCGCCCCTGCCTTGCAGATAAGCATATTAGGTAGCAAGCACTATTACATAATTGTTTTGTAATTCAGTTTGAACTGAACAAGCTTCCTGGATGAGAAGCAAAATGTTATCAAAAGAAAAAATCCCAAATTGCGTTTTGGAAAAAGTACCTTTGGGACACCCATGACCTGGATGATTAAGAATCTCCATCAGGGGTGAAATGCCTGATGGAGATTCTTAATCATCCAGGTCATGGGTGAAATGCTCCCCGATGGGACAGGTTCGCCCGATCCGGTAGCGATGGTCGCGGGTGGTTCCGAGAACCGGTAGCAAAAA